CCGGATTTCCGGCCCAGTCCGCATCTGTGTAGGCAAGGATCTCAAGATGTTCGGCCTTTTTGAAGAGAACTCCATAATCGAACGTCCCCTTCAGATATCTTACAACTCTCAAAGCTGCCTTCATGTGTTCAATCTGAGGCCGATGCATAAACCGACTGATCACTCCCACGGCATAGACAATATCTGGACGAGTGTGTGACAAGTAGATTAGTTTTCCCACAAGCCGTTGGTACCTCCCTCGATCTGTCTCTTCTGCTCCTTCTATGATTTGTAGTCCATGATTCAGTTCTATAGGAGTAAGTGCTGGTTTGCAGTCCATCATTCCCGTCTCTGCCAGAAGATCCAGTGTATACTTCTTCTGGCTCATAAAGATTCCCACCTTCGATCTCAGAACCTCAATACCCAAGAAATACTTAAATCTTCCCAAGTCTTTCATCTCAAATTCTTCGAAAAGATTTTCTTTCAGTCGAATAATTTCCTCGGAATCATTCCCTGTTAAGATCATGTCGTCAACATAAATGATGAGACAAGTGATAAGACTCCCTCGGTGTTTGATGAACAGGGTATGGTCCGAATTACTCTGTTGGTAGCCATATTTTTTCATGGCTGCTGTAAATCTCCCAAACCATGCTCTTGGTGACTGCTTCAGCCCATATAAAGTCTTCCTCAGTCGGCATACCTCATTTTCTTTAAACTCGGATTCAAACCCTGGAGGCGGCAGCATATACACTTCTCGCTTCAATTCTCCGTGTAAGAAGGCATTTGTTACATCAAATTGGAGTAGATCCCAATCTTGATTAACTGCAATAGATAAGAGGACTCTAACAGTGTTCATTTTCGCCACGGGTGAAAAAGTATCTGCATAGTCAATCCCATATGTCTGAGCATACCCTTTAGCCACGAGCCGAGCTTTATACCTGTCAATTGAGCCATCTGGCTTCCGTTTGATAGTAAAGACCCATCTGCATCCAATCGGCTTCTTGCCAGCTGGTAGTTGACATTTCTCATATGTCTTATTTCGAGCTAACGCCCCCATCTCCTTGTCAATAGCCCCTTTCCAGTTAGGATTCTGAAGAGCCACTTCCTCTGAATGAGGAATAACATCAGAATAAAGTGCATCCTGATATTTTGAAGCATCATCAGACAAACTCAGCTTCGCTAGAGACCCAATAGAGTATCTGGACTGCCCTGTCTGGTCTGGAGAATACCGTTGAGGTGGAACTCCTCGATTATGTCTAGGTGGAAGGATCCGCCTAGACCCTCTATATGTTTCTGTATGCCCTTCAGCTCCAGTGTTTCTTACATTAAATATCTCGGAAGAAGAAACATCATTAGACGTGGGCCCAAAGTCTAAATTTTCAATGTTTGGAGATTGTTCATCCTCAGGTTCTGCTTTTCTGAGCTCAAGTTCTTCAGAGACTTCGACTGTGTGATAAGAGGGAATCTGGGACTGATCTTGGTTTTGTTTATGGTTTTGTGTTTGATGGCTTTGGTTTCGATTTTGGGCAGGAAGAAGAAGCCAGCTTAGCAAGTCATTAGAACTCTCCCCCTGACTGCTAAGATGGTTGGAGTAGAAGTACTCGGTTTCAAGGAAACTAAAGTGTATTGTGGTACTGATTTGTTTGGTTTTTGGGTTATAACACCGATATCCCTTTTGATGGATCCCATACCCGACAAGGACACACTTTTCAGCACACGGAGATAATTTATTTCGTTCGTGTTTTGGAATATGGACAAAAACAGAACACCCAAAGACCCGAGGCTGAAGAGATAGGTAGGATGGAACAACTGCTTGACTAGACAAAATATCTAGTGGAGTTTTGAATTTGAGAGTTTTTGTCGGGAGTCGGTTTATGAGGTAAACAGAGGTAGCTACTGCTTCGGGCCAAAAAGAAGCTGAGACTTTAGATTCTAGCATCATAGCCCGGGTCATTTCGAGAATGATTCGGTTTTTACGTTCAGCTACCCCATTTTGTTCGGGTGTATAAGGACAAGAAGTCTGGTGGATTATTCCCTTATTGAGACAGAAAGTTTTGAGATTAGTATTGACGAATTCCCCCCCATTATCCGATCTAAGAATTTGAATATTTTTGTGGAATTGTGTTTGGATCATAGTATAAAAATGGGTAAATTTCTCAAAAACTTGTGATTTAGAGTCGAGAAAATATACCCAGGTCATCCGTGTAAAGTCCTCCACAAAAAGTAAAAAATAACGACATTTAAGGCCCCCAAAAACAGGAGAAGGCCCCCAAACATCAGAGTGCACAAGAGAAAACGGGGAAAGGGTTCTAGTATTATTAGCCGGAAAAGAATGTCTGTGGCTTTTCGCCAAAATACACGTCTCGCAAGGGAAATTATGATGTTTAACTAAAGCTGGAAAGAGAAGTTTAAGGTAGTTAGTAGAAGGGTGACCCAATCTCCGATGCCACAACCAAATATCTCGTTCGGAAGAACCATGAGCCAGTAGTGCAGTACCTTTGGAGTCAATCTCGTCCACATAGTAAAGTCCATTCCTTTCAGTGCCACGCCCAATGATCTCCCCCGTCCGGATATCCTGTAACAAACAAAAATGCGGGTGTAGAATTAAGGTGCAGTTTAATTCTCGAGTGACGTGGCTGATAGACAAAAGTTTATGTGACAAGGAGGGAACATATAAACAATTTGACAAACGAATGGACTGAGAAATTTCAACAGTCCCACCCCCAGCTACAGTAGCTAGATCCCCACTAGCAGTTTGAACGTGAGTTCTTCTAGGTTTAGAGAAATTTATAAAATCAGATTTGTCAAAGGTCATAGTATCTGACGCACCACAATCGAAAATCCAAGCACTGTTCTTTTTTGACAATCTTTCACAAGTCTTAAGACCTTTGGACATAGATGAGGAGCAGTGTGGTAAGTTGACATGTAAGTTAGGGTTTGGTAATTTACCACACCCTATACCTGAATTCATTTGCGTCGCTGCCCATTCATTTTTCCCTTCATATGAACTGCAATGTTCTGTCTGATTTCCCCCACCGGTGATTTTTGTTGTCGCCCCTCCAAACCCGATATGGGTCTGATCTTGAGGTTCCTCTACTTGGGCTTCGTCGACGGCGACCGCACTCTTCCCCTTTGCGGTTGCAGTCCGGTGCCCCTCTTCCCACCATTCTGGGTAGCCAACCAACTGGAAGCAAGTCTCCCGTGTATGCTTCTTCATCCCGCAATGTCAGCAGACCAATTTGGTCTTGTCAATTTTGTTGCGCGATGAACTTTGCCCAAATCGATTGGCTGAGTTATGATTCGATTGCATCCGAGCCGGGTCTGACCTAGGGTTTGGATGTTTCACCCCAAGTCCAACTCCTATATTTGGGTCTAGACCACCGGAGTTGGGTACCGGCTGCATAATATGTAGTCGGGCAGCCTCTCGTTTGACGGTGGCGAAGGCAACTTCTGGTGAGGGGTTTGGCTTCTCTTTGAGTATATCACGTCGAATCCCATCGAGTTGGGGGTTAAGGCCTACGAGGAATTGATACAATCTTTTCTGGGAGATTATTTTCTGGTAAGTTAGTATCCCCTTATCACAGCACTCTAGGGGATTTGGATCTCTTTGGTCGATTTCATTCCATATGTTGTGCAACTCGCTCCAGAATTCCTCCAAGGTTTGGTCTTCTTGACTCATTTTAGACGCTTGAATTTCAAGGTCATAAATTTGGAGAGGGTCCGCGCTAGACCCGTATGTGATTGCAAGACTATCCCACAAAGCCTTGGAGGTCTGATGTTGTGCAAATCTTTGCACCAATCGGGTCTCCATGTTCTGTATGATCCATTAAAAAACAGTAAGATCATCTTCCTCCCAAGTTTGAAATTCTTTCTCTTCCTTTTTTGCTGATGGAGGGATGTTGGTGATATGTTTTGCCTTCCTTCTTCCTCCGATAGCCACCTTCATCAATCGGGACCAAAGTGGATAATTTGTCCCATCCAATTTGATTCCGAGAATTATGTTTGCTGGTGGTTGGTCTGACATATCAATTTTCTCCTTCCAGGTATTTGATGGAATTGAAATTTGCGTGTATGGTTTGATTTAGGTTTTGTGAACTTGTGATACAAGAACAGAAAGGTTTTAGTTTGGATGTTTGTTCGGGCTATGATGATGTTGTTTTCCTGAGCCCTAGGATTGATACCTGCTCTGGTACCATGTTAAACAATACATTCGACATGTTTTTGGGAGAAGAAAACTGTCTTATTATTATTTTTTTTTGTACATAATGAGAATACAAATATATAGAGTACTTAATGAGGTAAACAAGGAAAGAATAAATCACAAAACGTCTAAATCGGATCTTGAATATCTTGTTGATTATCTTGATTGATTTGGTCATATCTTTTCCTTGTAAAACTCTGATACTCTATTCTATTCCAACACTTTGTATCTTACGATGATTATTAAAAATTATAACTCGGATATGAGATTAAAAATGACTGGATATTTGATGAACAAACAATTATTAACTTTCAGGTTTTGAAATGTCTTAAGTCGTATTATTTCTGTGCAACTGTAA